GTTTATAAAAAGGAATTGACAAGTAAAAATGTTTGCATGTAGAATAACTAAAGCAGTCAGTTGTCAAAAGCATTGTACATGTCACATGAAACTTATCAACATAATAACTATTTACTTATCAAAGATGCTTTATACTGTCTTAATCTAAATTTTAATTGTGTTTAATTTTCAAAGCAGAAAGTCCAGCATTGCTCTTGCGACTAATTGTGGTCTGCCCGTACCGAATGGCATTTTGTGCCATCTCTTGCAGTCTCCAAGTGGGATTGTTGTTCTGCCCATTGCATGCTCTCACCTGACAGAAATGATTCTCCACCACATCTTGATTTAGGATAGCAGGTTTTATGACAGCATTAGGGAAGAATTTCAATTTTGTAGCAATAATAGCTTGGAAACCAAACGACATTGATTGCAAATCTGTCATTAGTTTTGTTGAAATGAATTTGCTATTGTCCCCCTCCACACTTTGTTGCCATTTGTAGAGGAAGTCAATAAGGCCATTGAGGATTTCCAGTCTTGTGTCTTTTGTACTGGTGATTGGATATTTGTCGTGGAAAAGCTGGATTGTTTTTGATGTAATTGTCGAGTGAGAAACCGCAGCAAGCATTGCACTTTTCAATAAATGCCATARGAAATTTGGCTTTACAAGTTMTTGGTGGTATACTTTTCACGGTATCCAAGATTTCAAGCTCTTTAAGATCTAGTTTGCGATCGTGATATTTAATCTCAACTGCAAAGGTTTGTGTTGAGTTGTCAAAAAAGAATTGAATCTCCCAGATGGCTCTTTGCCCATTGAATCGTACATCGGTGATATTTACCAAGCTTAYGGTAAGGGTGCTTTCTTTCAGTACCTTCCAGTTATTATCAGCTCGATCCAACGACACAAGATCTTCAATTTCGGCATGGAAGTTGCTCCATTCAACGTATGGTTCTTCGTTTGTTTCAGAAACTGAATATCTCCTCTTCAAGTTATCAAACATTTTCACCCTCTCCTTGCCTCTACGCAATCTCCTACTCTGCACTGACTCGCCGAAAACCTCTCGAAGTGCTCTGTGTACGGTTTTGAACGATACAATCGAGTTTTCACCACAGCTCTCTTGAAAGTGAACCATTAACTCAGTTGTCAGTACATAGTCGCCTTGGCTGATCTCGTAATTCAATAAAATCCTAGTATGTAAATACAAAAGATCCGATGTGATTTTCTTGGTAAACAAATGGCAAACAATACATGAAATTTCTCTCTTACCAGGCTCTGATAGACGCATATGTGGAAACCGTGGTTTTCGACTTCTTTCCAGAAGGACAGTTTTCTTTTTCGGCTTCATTTTGGCGCTTGAAAGACATTGTCCGCCAGTACGGCCATAAAATCACGAGAGAAGTTTCAAATACGTAATGTTTTTCAAACTTTTTAGCTTTCCCCCAAGCCGATCAGTGACGTGATTGGTCACAAAATATTTTCCAAGGGGATAGGACAGAAGGGTTGTTTTTGTGGAACAAATACGACGGAGCCTCCTCCCGAGTGGTTAAAATTTGGCATGGTTTCCAGGCCCGACCGTGATCGGTGGGTACACATGACCGTGTCACGGATAAAATGGCGTTCGTTGAAGTTGAGTTTGAAATCAACACGAGAACTKTTGGTTCGTAGACTTAGATAGTTACAAAAGAAAGACACAGATTTATTCGATTGTTATTCCTCTAAAGTCCAGCGAAGCGAAATCTTCATCTGACTTTTTATTTGGTACGAAAATGACTTGTTTTGTGAAACGTTCATTGTCGAGAAAGTTCGTTTGGTGTCCTACCTTGTCATATATATTAACTAGGGACCATAACAAGGTAAAATCTCCACCGTTAATCAAGTAATGGCCAAAGATTCATAGTATAGAAAAATTTACAACTGAAATAGTTCGACATACATATCCCCGGCTCATTTCAGGAAAAGCTTAAGTTACAGCACGATAAAGACATTCTGGAGGCTGAAAAGAATAGAATTACAAAGGTGTGCAATTGCAATTGCATTCTATGCTTCTTCCTTAATTAATTAAGAGAAAGAAGAGATAATCAAGCTTCCAATGGCAACATAACTCGGAGATTGTGAGAGCTGCTTTTGCAAGATGGTCAGATGTATTTTGAGCATTTTGCTCATGAATTATTAATGAGTTCTAGAAGTATTTGTTAATTAATAACTTATCTAATTTGTTAATAAATTTATTAACAAATTAGATAAGTTATTAACTAGAACTCATTAATAATTCATGAGCTATTAGTCCAATGAGCATCGAACTATTGGGTCACATTTATTATATCAGATATATAGAACCTGGATGCTTTATTAATCAGTTCTATATCAGATATAAAGAACCGATCAAGTTCATCGGCGCTTTATCGCAACCCAACACTAGCAAAGGTCTCAGTTTTAATATCGCGTCATAGACCTTTGCTAGGTTTTAAATCAGTTTGAATCAATTTGCCGACATGCACTATAGCATAGACTAGGCAATCTTTCGTGTGGGATCAAAATTCKTTCAATTGTGGCACATCATACACATGCTTATTAGAAGTTCAATATGCATTATCACTGTTTTTGCATTTTTTAGCTTTTTTTCTAAAATGATAAAAATTTCTGAATGTTGGAGTTCTTGAAGTCGTTTATAGAACTCAAGTGTGTGTATTATTGGGTATATAGATTCTTGCCTGTTCGAATCTATATATCTGCGGCTCGAATCTATATATCCCGATAAAACATGCACTCTCGTTCTATAAAAAAACACATATAATACTATAGATGATCAGAAAAAAAATCAGAACGTCAAGATCAGAACAATATTGGGAAAAAATGAAATTTGTTAGAGCAAACTTTGAGTAGCTGATGCCTTCATGTATTGAAGGAACAAGTGAATTGGTATATCATAACTTTGTTTTGAGCTCCTTTGTTGAAGCATGAAATCTGTGAAATCCACATTGTTCTTTGATTATTTCATGCTCTTGATTTGCAGTTTTGCAGAATTATTCCAGTGCTTTTCTTCCAATCACTGTTAAGCGGGTTAAGCTTTATTGATAAAAATATAAGCTTATTAGTTCAGAGAGACATCGWAATTTATAAAAGGAAACCCTTGTAGAACCAGACACTATTTTATGACTATGTAAATACTATGTTAAGAGGCTATTTATTTGATATGTAATATATATTTTATTTCTATGTAAACTTATCATACAAGTTGCATATGTATAAGCTAAGTAATCTTTGTGTGAAAGCTATGTATCTTCAAGTAAAACACTATTTTTTCACTAGGTTTTTGGAACATTTACATAGCCTATGCAATTACTATGAATTAGCACTTCTTGGATTCCATTTTTAAACTGAAGAAAATAGCATTTAAATAGTGTGGAAATAGGCATTATATAGTCTCAACATAGGCATTACTTAGTGTAGCAATGCCCATTACCTCTTCGTATACATTGTGTAGCAATAGCAATACTCCAGTTTCGAATTCTCCAATGCTCTGTGTTAGCCTCATTTGTGCGCACAATATTCCTCATTGTGAGCGTAAAAGTGTGAGATTTSAAATCAAATTTATTGTCTTTCTTCRCAAGCTATCAATGAAACAAAAGAATATGTTACTTGGTTTTGAGGCTAACACAGAGCAAACCAGAACTCGAAATTGGAGTATTACCTAGTGTAAAAATAGGCATTACCTAGTGCATAAATAGACATTAACTAGTCATAAATAGGCATTGCCTAGTGTAGAAATAGGCATTACCTAGTGCATAAATAGGCATTGCCCAGTTCATAAATAGGCACTACCTAGTGTATAAATAGACATTAACTAGTGCATAAATAGGCATTTACTAGTGCATAAATAGGCACTACCTAGTGCATAAATAGGCATTACCTAGTGTAGAAATAGGCATTACCTAGTGTAGAAATAGGCACTACCTAGTGCATAAATAGGCATTACCTAGTGTATAAATAGG